TGGGTTAGAGACCATATGGTTGGTTTCTGAATCCAAAATAGGATTTTTAATAGATGAGTAGCCTCAGGTAAGTTCCCTGGTGCCTCTAGCTTCAGTTTCCCTCTGATGTATAATAATATTTATTTTAGGGTCGAATGGGTTAATACAGATGTATTTTATATACTTTTTTAATGTTTATTTTCATCTACTTCAAAGGCAGAGCAACAGAAAGAGACAGATTAGTCTTCGGTCCATTGGTTTGCTTCCCAAATGCCTACAACATCCAGGGCAGTGTCAGGCCAGAGCCAGGAGTCCAGAGCTCCATATGAGTGGGTGGCAGGGGCCCAGGCACTTGAGCCATCACCTGCTGCCTCCCAGGGTGCATCAGCTGGAAGCTACATTGGAAGCAGAGCAGCTGGACTTGAAACAGCACTCCAGGATGGGATGCTAGCTTCCTAATAAGGGCTCAACCCATTGCATGATGGCACCCACCCCAGATACTGTTTTGTTTTAAGCTTAAAGTAGCACCTGGCACATAGTAAGTGTTCAGTAAATAGTAATGGCTGCTATGGGTTATGAAGTATCCCTTTTCTAAAATGCTTGAAACCAGAGTATTCAGATTTCAGATTCTGGAATATCTGCCTGGACATAGTGAGATATCTTGGGGATGGGACCCAAGTCTAACCATGAAATTCACTTGTGTTTCATATACGCCTTCTACACATAGCCTGGAGGTGATTTTATACACTCTTTTAAGTGTACCTGCATCTTGGCTGTGACCTGTCACACAAGATCAAGGTGGAACTTTCCAGCAATGGTGTCTGGTTGGCGCTCAGGACTTTCAGGCTGTGGGGCATTTCAGCTGGTGGGGTTTTGGGTTACAGGTGTTCAACCTGTATTACTGTGCAGTTGTTAAATAGTACATAATTTGTACTATGCACATAAAAACTCAGTAAATCTCACTGGATTTCTCTGCTTCACTGCTGTAACTTCCTACTCCCAGCATGCCTTCCCAGAGCAGTTGAGTCAAGCTAACGTGGAACAGACCTGTTTCTGTGGTTTCCTCTCAAACAGGAAAGCTCGCTGGGATGCTCGCCTTTGAGCTGCAGGGAGGTTCTGAAGTCTGGCCCGTGCTGCTCACAGACAGCGCCTCCTGAGTGTTGCCACCAAGCCCAACAAACCACACGTTTTAATGCCTCTGCTACTGTTACATATGGTCACTGTTGAGATGCAGCTGCTGCTTAGAGGGTAGACGAGAGGGGGACTGAATAGGGTGGCATCTTTTGGGCTGATGACTTGGACCAAAGGAAGCCAAAGACAACTAATTGGTGATCTCCTTTAACTCCTTGCCAGCCTTGGCACCAGGTGCTTTGGCATTCGCTGTTTATCCTCATGACCGTTTTGTAGGGAAGTGGCCTCTCATTTCATGAGGGCGGCAAAGGTGCTCACGGGTTAGGGCAGTGTTTCCACTAGCCCTGGAGCCAGGGCTCAGAACAAGGGTGTCTCACTCCCTGCACGAGCACCTTCCTCCCTAGTGTGCTGCCTTCCAGCGTGGGTCCTGCGTCCAACCCTGTGTCCTGTGACTAGAGTCCAGGCTTTTCCGAGGAAGCCCCCGTGTCTGTGTCACCACCGGTTTACTGCTTAGTGGAGAAATGCTCATCACGTTGGGTTCATGCCGGTTTCAGAACTCCTCTCTGGTAACTGAGTGGCTTTGCGCTGGGACAGAGCTGAGTTCCCCAAGTGAGGCATCTCTTTAAAATGCCCGTGCATTTTTCAGTGGTTACAAGACTTGCCAGGGCCTCGCTCTGAATTGACTAAAGCACTCCTGGCAGCATTTCGTCCGCTCCCGGAGGTGGAGTTTCACTCTGGACCCAGCACAGTGCCCCTAGAATGCCCAGCTCCCCAGGACACAGGAGCAGTTTCTGAGCCCAGACCTTGGGTCTGTATGGAGCCTGCTTGGTCAGCCAAGGCTTGTCACCCCCAGCCCAGGCCGGAGCTCAGACCGGGTGGAGGGGCGGGGCTGGGACTGGGAGCGCACTGCTGACCCGCGCCAGCATGTCTCCTCAATCACCGTGTTCTCATCATGCCCAAAGCCCCGCATGAAATAAAACCAGATTTAAGAGATGCATTTCAATAGACTTTTTAAGAAAGCACATACAAAATCCTGGAGATAAGAAATGAGGCATTAAAACCCAGCATGTTTGGAAACCAGGCTGAAATTGTGGGAACAGTCTCCATTTCCATGTGTTAACCTGGAGTGTAAGTTAACAGTGGCACCTGGATGGGTGCTGGGAACCGCTCACATTCCCTGCTCTCAAAGTTTCAGAAACCTATCAGTGTCTGAGTCCAGAAACCAGACTGTGTGTTTCTCTCCCCACCCGCCCCCCTCAAGTGCTGCAGACATGGGACAGGAGCCAGAGTTTGCACTGGTCTGGAGGGAGAGGAGCAGACCCAGCTTGGACCCTCGGAAACTTCCCTTTGGTCTGGGCAGCATGCAGGGCGCAGGGCAGAACCTCTTGTTTCCTTTTAATGTGCACGTTTTTACGGAAATGGAGCCCCCGAGTAAGATACGGCACACTCCTGAAGGCACATTCTAAGTGCCGCACGTGCCCCTTCTCGTCGCCGTTGTTTTCATTTTCCTCCCGTGAACCTGGCTACTCTGGCTCCAGCGTGGAGGCTGTAAAGGAAGATGGAGAGCCGAGTTACCTCGGAATGATCACTATCGTTAACATTCACGGGTGGTTCACTTATCATTCCTGACTGCACAGACATGGCAGCCGCTCGGAAGCGTCCGCAGGTGTAGCGTGGTGATACATATTACATTGTGCCACAATGGATTTATGTATTCTGTAACAAAAGAAAAGTGTAATGAAAAAATACAGAAGGTAATCCTTTATTCCTCCACCGCACAATTTATCAGTAATGCCTGTGGATGATAAGTGCCAGGGATTTCCTCTGCTTGCTTTAACCTTGTCACCTAGGTACGTTTTGGTAAAATGACAGAAAAATACAGACTGGGGATTTTCCTCTGTTCAAAAATCTTTTAAAAGGACACTTTTAATTTATGGAAGTTAGGCCAAGCACCAGGCTTCCTTGTGAGCTTTTAGTCTGGCTTTGCTGAGAAAGATAAACGTGTGGACTCACAATAATGCTATCAGCCAGCAGTGGATTAGGAGAGAGTGTAAGCAGTTGATGAGCAGACTCAACTCTGAGATCGTTCAGGTGGAACGCAGGTGGCTGGCGGCTCCTGAGACCTAGGCCAGTACTAGGCTGTGAGTTCTGAAGAACGCGTGTTCCCTGTTAGGCCCCGCTCATCCATCGCCCAACATATTGTCACAGATGGAGCACACCCCGACTTGTGAGGAGAAAGCAGGGAGGGCAAACGGAACGCGGCTGATTGGCATTTGTTCCAAACACACACTGGCCTAGCGCCAGTGCAAATACCCTCCAGTTTATAAATGCACAAGGCACTTTACATTTCAGTATTCTTGCCAAAGTATCACTTACTGCCTCGCTCCCTAAATATAGTTTTGTTTTGTTTTGTTTTGTTTTGTTTTGTTTTAAAGAGCTATTTCTTATTTTGCTTTGATCAGTAAAATAAACTTCTAAAGACTGTTCTGGGATGGGGTCCAGCATCGGAGGTAAAGAATGGCCGGGACTCAGGCATGATTCTGTAACAGAGTGTTCAGGAAAATTAGCTTGACAGTTCTCAGGCCTGCTGTTCGATAGCAAGAACTTGACCAAGTTAAAATGGATGATCGTGCTGGCCAGACCAGCATCGGCTTCTGCTTTTTAACAAATGGAATGTCAAGGATTAAACAGCAAGCCGTATGGAGAGGAAGGCTGTGGAGATGTCTCTGTATTAGGGAAGCAAATTGGGTCCTTGGTTTTGAGACGGGGCCCCAGCCCCTATGGAGAGCCAGCCACCTGGTTGGGTCGAACCGAGGCTGGAGGCCCCTTCCCAGCCTGTCATATCATTGGGAAGTCTTTCCAGGGCTTAGCTTGTGACTTGGCTTTTCTTTCGCATTTCTTGTCAGTGTGAGGTTCTGCCATGTTTTCTGGCCATGTTCCCCTTTGAGATTCTTATGGGGAAATGGGAATGCGACCAAACTCCTTGTGGCAATTCCCATGTTCCATGGTTGGAAGCTTGGGTCCCGTTTGTTACATTAGCTTCTTGGACTGGGCCTGTTTTGTTCCAGTGCCCAAGCATAGTGAGTAGTATTTGTGATACTTGCTATTGCAATTAATAGTCTTGGTGAAGTTATATCTCACCCAAGAGACAGGCTTGTTTTCAGAATATTTCTTCCTTAGTTTTTCCCCCCTGCCTCTCTAAACGCAGGCCTTCCCCCACCCCAATTTAATTAAGCTTAAAAGTAGTGTTCGTATATTGTCTGGTAAACATTTGTGCTTCAGCTAATATTTTATTCGACAGTCTAGAACTAATGAGATGTGACCATTCCTAGTGCAGCACACAGAGACTGTGTATTTGGGTGTACGTATGTATGTATGCTCATATTTTACTAGCTAGTTAGGGAGAGCCTTTTCTTGTCTACATCCTGAATTCCTTTGGGAACACACACACACACACACACACACCCCTACCCCTGCCACCATGACATATTTTACCCAGGGCTCCCTGAGCTTATTCTAATGGTAGTATCTGCCTGCAGTGACATCTACTGACACAAGCCAAGTTTACCAGTTGTCAGTCCTTGCTGTGGGACTCGGTTGGGAGCCAACACTAAGAACCTATGGTACCAGTGACCCACACAGACCAATTAGGCTCAATTTGTGGTCAATTAAAAAACCTTCCCTAACCCTGACCTTTGTTCCACTTGGAACTGTTCGTACTGGAATGCTCCCCCCACCCCTCAATCAGCAGTAGAGGTATTCAACCCATTTTTAAATAATTGGCGCTTCGGGGTACATTTACCTTAAACCTTCCTGAGATACACTGAAGATCATAATAACGTCTCTCTGGTGCCTGTCAGTGATGATTTAATATTTGTCTCTTCCTGCAGAAATGCTGCTCATGGATTCTCCCTTATTCAGGTAGACAACACAAAGGTCACCATGAAGGAAATCTTGCTAAAGGCGGTGAAGCGAAGAAAAGGATCCCAGAAAATTTCAGGTGGGATAGTTAAATCATACCTTGACAATAGAAACTGAACCCTGTAAGGTTAAAAGGGCTTAGGATGTGTGTGTGTGCATGTGTGTGTGTGTGTGAGAGAGAGAGAGAGAGAGGTGTATGGGGGTAGATTGTTTCGGGCATCAATGCTATAGAGGATTTGGTTAGCAGATTTACAGCAAAAAGCAGGGAGGGGGATTGTAAGCTGCCCTTGGGCCTCTGGAAGGGACTAGGTCAGTGGCATGTGTGAGAAGAATATGTTCATACCTGTTATGGATGTTCTGTCATTAATAATCTGTAGTAGATTAAGACAGAGCTATTTGTACTAAGGATTAGGTGATATAAAGCTGTCTTGAAAGCGGAATCAATCCTGAACTTGAGTTGCTGCTTTTAATTTCATGTTTTCACAAAATTTTTCATAGGACTTTTAGTTACCAGTGTTTAGGATTTGAAAGGAAAAAAGAAAAAAATTCTCTTCCATTTTTACCAAATGAGAATAACCTTTAAAAAAAAAGGTAAATCACGTGATGTGCATAAATATTTGTTAATCTCTAACTCCTCATTACCCAACTTAATATAGAAAAATAGGATTATGGTATTAGCTATGATAATTAAAGGATGTAAGAAAAACTATTGTCCATCTTGAGAAATAATTATTTTGAGCAATAGCTCAAAGATTTGTCATAGCACAGATAACATTAATATCAGTCAACCTGTATATGGCTTGTCAAAAAGCTTTGTACATAAAGAGATTTCTTAAACACCTTTGATTTCACCTTTTGGAGAGGGAAAAAGCATTGCTCAGGTTGAAGAAAATAGTTTTGTGCTCTCTTTAAGGGGAGGCATATAATCTGCTCCAGATTTAATTAGCTATCTTCAGATGAAAGCTGAAGTTTTAATAAAAGTTAGAAGAGATAACATAGTGAAGGACACGGATGAGCTGTCTCAAGGCCATATTCCCCGGGAACGATAAGAGCTGTAAAAAATGGCAGAGGAGAGCAATTGAATGGAGCAATGAAAATCTGATTCTCATAAAAAAGAGAGAGAGAGAGAGATGCTGGTAGGGGCGGTTGTAGATGAGACCTGCTAGCGTCTGCAAGCAATTTGGATGCTTGCCAGGAGTCATTGTTCACCCTCGGCTGTGGCGGCTCCGTCCAGATGTGCCAACTGCACGTTTCGGCTTTTGCCAGCTGACTGCGCCGTTTGATAACCAGCTCTCTGGATGCCCATCACTGGCCGCAGAGATAGAATTAAATGATGATGATCTTCCCACAAGTTGGGAGAGGAAACAATGCATATAAATCTTGATTTCATCTCAGCATGAGAAGTCTTTATCCATCATCACTCATAATGAACAAGTCGTTAGCTGGGATGAATGGTGTTCTGGTTTTTCCAAACACCTCTTTTGTTCATTTTTTGGGTGACTTTTATCCAATGCATGGGGGTCAAACCATTTTGCATTTAGGGGATCATTGAAGAGGCATAGTCTCTCCTTTCCTGGGGGAAGTCGATATTTTAGGGTCCTGGTTCCAAAATAATAGATTTTAAACAGCTTCAGATATTCAAAAATACTTCCTAAGCAGTCATCCTCCTTGAGGATCCTGGTTCTTCTCTCTTGTTTTATCTCCTAAACAATAAAATATTTTGTGATGTAATTTATTGTATTTTGGACACATTATTCTGAATTGTCCATGAAACCCTGTGAACTCACGGGGCTACAGCCGAGCCAGTGTCTCTCCTGTCTCCAGCGATGTCTGTCCAGTCTCAGACCTGTTTGTGTCCGTGCCCGGCGTCCACATTGCTCGTACACACGTTCATGCTCACCTTTGTGTACACACCGCTGCCGTTTCCTTCAGAGCCTTTGCCTTATCCTTGGTGCAGAGTTACAGTTTGTTACCTGAGAAACAGTGATCTGCATTGTGTATCCCTTCTCGGTGATCTGCATTGTGTATCCCTTCTCGCCCTGAAGGAGCCAGTGGAGATTGGTGCATTTGCATACATTACTGCCCTTCTCTTAATTCAAAGGGCTTTGTACAGTAAGAAGCTCTTTCTGTTGCTCTGTTACATCTGATCTCATGAAATAGAAAGAACTCTAGTTTGGCAAAGATATTGAAGATTAGCTTGGGGAAAGCAGGATACATTTTGTGTTTTTGAGCTTTGTGGTTTGGAGCAATTTCTTTCGGGGAGTGATTAATGAAAACAGGAAAATTCTCTCGTCATAGAGGGAACTGCAAGTACATTTGCTTTAGGAAAAAACCAATCTGTTGGTTCTCTAGTTGTCTGTAAAATACAACCCTTTATGGGACATGGATTTAGTCATGAACTTGGTGGAGAGTGGTGCCAGGCTAAAGTCCTCATCCTGCACTTCGTTTGGGTTTTTTGTTTGTTTTAAAGATTTTTAAAAATTTACTTGAAAGGCAGAAGGACAGAGAGAAAGGGAGAGACTTTCCATCTACTGGCTTACTCCCCAAATGACTACAACAGCCAGAGTTGGGCCGGACCAAGCCAGGAGCCAGGAGCTCCATCCAGGTTTCCCAAGTGGGTAGCAGGAACCCAAGTGCTTGAGCCATCATGTGCTGCCTTGCAGAGTGTGCATTAGCAGGAAGCTGGATCAGGAGTGGAGGCCAAGGAATGCCAAGGACTGCTGGTAACCACCAGAAACTGGAAGACGCAAGAAAGGATTCTTTTCTAAAACCTTTAAAAGAAACATGACCCTGCTGACAACTTAGTTTCAGACTTCCAGTCTCCAGAACTGTGAGAAAAGAAATTTTTTCTTTCAAAAAGAAAAAACTGTGTGCTGATAGTGTGGCATAGACACACAAAATTAACAATTCTGTTCCCTAGCACACTCCTCTCCCCACCCAAAAAAACGTGCAGGAACTGGGACCTGAACCAGCCTTCCGATGGAGGATGCAGACATCACAGCCTGCGGCTGAACCCGCTGTGCCACAGTGCCCGCCCCACCCTGCATTTCCTGAGCCTGTGCTGCAAAGTGACCTGCCCGTCTTTACCAGAAGCTGTCTGTCATGCCCGTGCCTGGGACCGAGTTAGAGTGCTCAGCCCTCTCTGCAGATAGCTTTTACCCAATTGACTACAGAAGGGCATTTGTTTCTTTGCTGCTTTTATTTAACTTAAGTGAGAAGCGGGGGACCACTGCTTGATATTAAACTGCACACGCCATGCGGTGTGAGTCCTCACACTGTGGGTTCACTAGAGGTGAGTTGCGCTAGAACAAGACTTCAGAATCCATTGACAGAGACCTCTGTTTCTTGCCCAAGACCTTTAGCTTCTCATCTTTTTTCTGGGCTGACCATACAACTCTTCATTTAATAGTAGCAATAAATTTAGAGCTTCAGCTATTTCATTATTAAATCAAGATGTGGGCTTAATGGCAGTCCTAATATTTAAATACTCCTCTGTCCTTCCTTCTGGCACTCCCTCCCCAATTTTCATTTGTGAAAAATTGGAAAGTGGTAGGTGTTTAAGCAAAAGAATTCTTCTTTGGGTAAATAGCTTCCTCAGTGGAACCCTTAGGACTTTAAAGTATTTTTGCTCTTTAGGATAGCATCTCATTACAGATACTTATAACTGGCCTCAAATTTGACTTGCATTACTTGTAATTATTTCATCAAGTCATAACTATTTATGATTACTGCCGGATTTTTTTCTGTTAATAATCATGTATTTAACTATAGCAGTCTTTTCACAGTATGTTCCAGTGATTTCTCTGCTAAGGCCTATTTTTTTTAAAAAGCCATTTTAAATGTCTCTTTTAAAGTTCTGCTCAGCTTTTCATTTTATTAGTGACCTGCTTGACATTTAGAATCTACCTACATTGGCAGGAAGTGCCCACTGTTTAAGAGCATAGTGAGTGGAGAATCCAGCTTTACAAGATCCGGATGCAGCCTCTGCTGAGTTTAACAGTTGGGCGGGTGTATGTTTGACACAATGAAGAGTAGCCTGTTAGATCCCTTTATTTAGCCAATAAAGTAAACTGACCTGTTACTTAGCTAATAAAGGCCTTAGTTCATCAAGGTCTCCCTCTGTCAAGGTCACCCTCACAAGCAGTGTCCCTCTGAGCTGCTTAGTGTTTTGTTGTTGTGGTTGTTCAAAAACGTTGTCACCCACCGATCTGTACCAACCCCAGGAGCAGAGTGTTGGGGATGACAGAGACACAGTGGAGAAATGGAGGGACATCAGTTTCGTACGAACATTGACACAGAAATAGCGGCACCTCTTGGTCCACAAAAGAGGGAAGGCTTCAAAGTAGGATTCACCAAGCAGAGTGGTTTTCTGCATGGATCTGTCTCGCTATCCATTCTCTTGTGAAACGGGGGTGTTTTTCTCTATTATCTGCTGGGGGATCGAACAGACGCCTATTGCCCTCTGCTACCGCTATCTGCTCTTGCTTTAGATGTGAAAGAAAACTGTGTATCCCCGGAAGTTCCTTTTTAAAAGTTTTTATAATGTTATGATTAAGCCTTGTGACATTCATTCCAGCTTCCGTCATAAAATTTCACCTAGAAGTTGAAAGAAAAGTATTAGCTTTGTCAGGTGACTCTCTCTTAGCACCTCTAACTCCTGCTTGTTGACTGTATTGTCCTACTCCTGGAGTGTCATCAATGAGACAGTCTGGCCCCAAGTACTCCCAGAAGCGGGAAGGGGGAATGGACATCCGCCTCAGCGTGCGGGGTTCTGGCCTGGAGGAAAGTCACTGATGGTATCACTGGATTCTCAAGTTAATCTTTAAAGATTTTGTAAATTATAAATGTTCATTCGTAATGTATGGGCTTGAAAAAGTTTGTGGAAAATAAAAGGTAAGTTTTTCTTTGTTAAAAAAAAATGCAATCACTGCCTATAAGGTCTTCAAAAAGGTCAGAGAAAATGCATATAACAAAAAAACCGCTTCCGGGGCCTGGCACTGTGGCGCAGCCAGGTAAGCCACTGCCTGCGATGCCTGGATTCTATATGGGCGCCAGCTCGTGTCCCTGCTGCTCCGCTTC